CTGAATTAGAGTGTAAATAATCTTTAAGCAATACTGTACAAATACCACTGGATCAAAATAGTATAATGTATTATGTATGTTTCACAACATCATCATCATTATTATTATTATTATTATTATTATTATTTAAAAAGTCAAGATGGTGGCCATGACTTCACAACTGAAGTTCTGCCCCTTTCTTTACACTATATGTGCTAAACATGAAATTAAGAAAGCGGTGGGACTTTGATCACGTAGTTACCGCCACCAGCTTGACTTTTCTGACTCCTCCTGAAAGATGGCCCTGTATATGACATTTCTATTCCAAATAGGGTAAAAGTATTTTATTACTGGCCATTGACCGGTCAGGCATAGCATACCCAAACGTGAGAAAAACGCAGAAAATGAAAAATTACAGGAGCGTCAAAATAAAATAGCAGAATCACTAAAGGGGAAGAGGAAAATCATCTTAACCTGATAATGTGGTGTAAAGAAATTAATTCAGGCTATATGAGTTTTCTCCGCTGGGTCCTGGACCTCAAATCTCAGCATTATTTATTGTTATTATTATCTTAGCCCTGCAGCATCTTAAAGCTTCATTAGCAATCTCAGCACTGCCAAATATTTGGTGGGCTCTTTGCTATGGACGATGAAGCTGGAGTATGTATTCTCGTGACTGCTAAGCGAAATGTGGTATATTATCATAATACATCGCTATTTCTACTATGTAAATATTTGTTATGTTACATTAAATATATATAATTCAAAATATATAATTACATTAAATCAGTGTTTCTCAAGCTCGGCAACTTGAAGATGTGTGGCCTTCAACTCCCAGAATTCCCCAGCCAGAATTTGTACTTCTTTGCTGCCATCTAGTGGTTGTCTTAGTTTTTTCAACTCAGATCTAATAATTCTGTGGAAACATCTTAGAAGTCTTCTCAGATCTTCCTAAATCAGGCACCTTCCCACCAGCCCAAAGTCATTCTGTGGCCTTCCATGGCTAAGCAAGGACTTGAATCTGGTCTTCCTGTTTATATTCCAGCACCTTCATCACCAGTCTTCCAAATCTTAGGAATGCGCATGCCTCAGAAAATTAAGAACAGGTGCCCCCCCCCCCAAATTGACTGTTCTAATAAGTCACCTCTTTAAAGCAGTTCGTGTTGAGACTCTAAGACCCAGAATTCTCAGCTAGCAAGACCTCCTTGAATTTGCAATCCCAACATATCTAGATTGGGCCAAGTGGGGAAACATCCTGGGGAAGTCCACAGAATTCATTTGCCTCCCTATGTTTTCCTATGAATTAAAATTCACTGCCATTCCTGGAAGTCACCTCACAGTGAGATGGGCAGTGACAAATTTGAAATATAAATTAAAAATTAAAAAAATTAAAAAGTGACATATTATCATCATGATATGTAATCATCAATATAACTATATTCTGTTGTGTCAGCATTAAGTACTCACTTAATGACCACAATAGGGACCAGAAAATTGATTGTTAAGCAGGGCGGTTGTTAAGCAAATCAGACCCAATTTTATGACACTAATCACCATGGTTGTTAAGTGAATCACATGGTTTCCCATTGATTTTGCTTGTTGGAAGCCAGCTGGGAAGGTTGCAAATGGCAATCATGTGACCCCGGGACGCTGCAACCGTTGTAAGTGTGAGCTGGTTGTCAAATGCCCAGATTACAATCACATGTCTGCGGGGGTGCTGGGACAGTTGTAACTTTGGGCACCCGTCATAAGTCACTTTTTTTAGCATCGTTGTAACTTCAAATGGTAACTAAACGAATGGTTGTTAAACAAGGACTACCTGTATAGGTTAAAGCTATAATTGATTCAAGCCAATTAAATCAAACTTGCATCTCTACTTTTTCTTGCTTCATTTAAGTTCACATAGGGTAGTCTGGCCTTGAAACAGATGTCAGGTTAAGCCCTGACACAAATGAAACTTTGCATCTCCTCACAATCTTTGGAAAATAAGCTCTTTCCAGTTCTCTTCCAAGTCAGTTGCTGAGAGGCAGGAGAAAAGGATATATCAAGGTTGTTAATGATACATCTCTTTTGACTGAAAATATTTATTCTGGACTTGTTACAAATAACCCGCTTCATCTTCTATAAAACTTCTGGTAGGCTTAGTACCTCTTCCAAATCTGGGTGGCTTTTGAACTTCTGAGACTTCTCCCTTTCTTTCTTTCTTTGTCTCGTGTTTGTTTTCTTCCTTGTGTTGGGGGTGGGAATTGGCAGGCTCGAGCGTAGATTGCTCACATCAAGAGTTCACGGAAGACAGATAGAAACCTCTGATGCTGGGAATCGTGTCAGAGAATGATTGAGATTAGGAGGACAGAGAGAAGAGTGTGGGCAAGATCTGAGCAAGCATACTGAATTTAGGAGAGCATGGACCCTGCTCAGATCTTCCCTGCACTCAGTTGCTGAATGCATGGAGAGGCAAGCTGAATCTTTGCCTGTGACAAAGGAAGTTTTCCACTGAATGGACAAGGGCGCTGTGAATGCAAGGCCATGTATTCACAGTGAGAGACTAGACCAGTGTTGTCCAAACTTGGCCATTTTAAGATGAGTGGACTTCAACTCCCCCCCATATCCCACCTGCAAAAAAACCATCTGTCGGAAGTGGGGGGGTGGGGGGTCAAGTCCTTCAGAATACGGTAAGTATCGAGCAAACA